TAGAGTTTATCCATCTTATATCTATACTAGAAAATTTAAAAGTATAACACTGCATGCAACCTTTGGAGTGCTGTATTTGTTTGATGAATTTCTTTTCCAGCGAGTAAGCAATAAATTCCTTTGGGGCTCACCCCCCCCTCCCCAGACTTAAGCAAAGCAGCCCACATCACCATCTGGTGGTCTAGGATAAATTTCCCAGAGAATTCAAAGACTTGTCTGCACATGTTTATAAGAACTTGTTTACAATTTTTTATAAAAATTATAGGAAGTTTCCCAAATTTAACCAGTGTTTAACCAATGAAAATTCTGTTTTGTTTTGTTTTTGCAATTATTGTGGAAACATTAAGCAACTTAATGCAAAGTTCCAATACTACTTGCAGCCTAACCTGAGCTTAGCAACAGTGTCTTCCAGACCTAGCCAGCAACACTAACGGGCAAACCTGTGTTCTGCTCTAATGTCTTTCAGACTTAGTGACAACGCCTCCTATAGCGCCCATTTGTGTGGCAAGCAACACTATCAGGCAAACCTGCGTTCTGCTCTAACGTCTTTCAGACTCAGCAATGCCTCCTATAGCGCTCACTTGTGTAGCAAGCACGCAACGCACCCTAAAAGCAGCCATATTGTGCAGTGCCTCCTACATGCTCAAGTACTAAATTTAGTAGAAACTCCTACTTTCTGCTACCTGCGCACAACGCCTCCTAGCAAAATAAAGGGAATTATATGGAAAAACGCTACATTTTCCTAAATTCAGCTTTTGCCAATTTGAACCATGGCAACTTCTTCAGCCATGACAGATGTCTCTGATGTACCAGAGGACCCGAATCCTCCACCCATCCTTGACGTAAACGTGGATCCTGGTTCCCAAAAAACAGTTTTAGACGTCCAATCCTCTGGAGAAGCAGTGATACCTCAGAAAGCCTACGACCTCAGACAGCATGGGAAGCTTACCCAACCTGCAGTGGCACGCTTCAGAGAGGATTGGAACAGGCAGTATCGCTGTCATGCAGACACATAGACGGAGCTAGTCACAGAATATGCAGTGCCACCTGAGCAGAGGTAAACTGGTGGGGGCAGACTTACTAGAATGGCTTGTAACCTTCCTGCCACCTTCATTAATATTACTTGTGGGAAGCCAGCATGGAAATCACAAATGGCAATCATGTGATTGTGACTCCCTGCAATGTGGTAATCACAACTAGGGGCCTGAAGTCAGGTAGTCCTCGACTTACAACCAAAATTGGAACTAGAATTTCCATCTCTAACCAAGACAGTTTTTAAGTGAGTTGTAAAACAGATTTTAAGTGATTTTACAATCTTTTTGCCACAGTTAAGTGAGGGTTAGACTGTTATGCTAAAATGTTGATATCACTTTTATAAAAAAAAAAAAAAAGAATAATAATGAAGCCTAAAATTCCAGGTAATCCTGTCATGACTGAAACTTCAAGGATTGGTTATATAACCCATATTTTTCAGTGCTGCTAAAACTTTGAACAATTGCTGAATGAATGGACATAAGCCAAGGACTACCTGCACTTTCATGTTTTAAAAACCATGTGCCACCACTCCTTTGAGGATAGCTACTGCTAAAAATCTGTAAAGCTATTATGTTACAAAGCCCATAATTTTACATTTGACTATTTTTGTAGGAAGTAATGGATTCAAAATATGCTTTCATTAGGAAAAAACATTGTATCAGAAAAAAATTACACATCAACTTCAAATCTTCATTACTTCTAATGTGTATTATCTTTTGTTGCTGGGACTTTGCTTGGACATAGTTTAGCTGTAACACTTAATTAGATATATGTCAGTGTATAAGGTTCATAAATTGGAATAGGCATAGTAACAGGTCAGCCAATGGGGACTGTTTGGTGACCCAGATGGCTCAGAGCCTGGGCATGGTTTAGGTTCACTGATCTGTATATACTGTATATGAGTGTCTCTGTGTTATATTGCTTCTGTGTTCATATTGCTTCTGTGATTATGACTTCTGGGTTCTGAGTTCTGGTTCTGGATATTGTATATATGCATCATACTTTATATAATTGTATGTAAATAAGTTTCTTCTATAAATGAATCTGCCTGAATTGTTTACTTGTGTGCTGGTTGGATTGTTCCAAACTCTAACAATATATACAAAAAGTAAAGTCTCCAGGTCAAGCTTGAATTGTTGTGATTATTACATAGACACAGCAATGAAATTGTTTTGGCCAGTTTGAAAATGGTTTTCTGCTGTCTTCATCCAGATGTTTTTTTCAACTTTCTAGTCCTCAGTGTTCCTAATGGTTCTCATTGAAACACTAATCAGATCTGATCCAGGCTGGCTTAGCTTTTTGAGATCAGCCAAATTAGGGGTTGCCAGTCTGTATGCTGCAACATATATAAGTAGTCCTTGATTTATGATCATAATTTGGCCCAATTTTACACCTTTTTTCAGCAGTCATTAAGTGAATGCTGCAGTCATTAAATGAATCCATTTTCTCCAACAGGCTTTTTTTTTTTTTGCCAGAAATCAGAAATAAAAATGCCAACAATCACAATTGCACGACTGTAGGACACTGCAAATGGATGTAAATGTGATCACAGGAGTGTATGCAGCCATTGGAACTCCAGAACCAGATTATAAGTAGCTCCAGATGATAACTTCAAACAGTTGCTAAGCGATGGTCATTAAGCGAGGAGTATCTGCATACCTGCACTAGAACCAATTAGAAGACAAATTTCCAGAGCTGGAATTGTCTATCAAAAAAAGTGTTTCTTGGTGCTACTTGAGCAGCTTGTTTCCACCATCTTGTGAAAAGGAGCCATTTTGTTACTCCTGCTTCAGTTAGGAATTCCACTCACTTCTCCTACCACACCGCTTCCAGAAGATTCTATGCCTCCAGCCAATCGTTAGGCAGCAGAACAGTAGCTGCACATCTGATTGGTCTGTTTTTTATATAAATATTCTGGCAGTTATTCCTAATATAACTTGGGGTGGGAAGAAGTGAGAGTAAACCCTTATTCATTTTCTAGAAAAAAAGGTAGCTAGCTTACTTTGCACCATGGTATCCCAAGGTCTTATCTAAGGGTTGGCCCCAGAAGGAATTCTCCTCAACTTCCATCCCCACTGCCCTAAAAGTCTGGATGAGGCAGGGGGGGAGGTTTCATAAAGTGCACTGAGAGTGGTTTAGTTATGTAGCATTTATGTATCATCTTTAGAAACTGCCTGTTTCCCTCAGATTTTTGTTCCTTCCAAAATAACCATCCTGTATTTAACTTCCCTTTGGTCAGAGATAATGTTTCAGGAATAGGAACAGGCAACATTGGAGAGGACTGAGGGAACCCATGGAAGGAGCTCCATCTAACCTGCTGTTAAATATTTGACATGATACTTTTTGATTCAAGGCTGCAAAGTAATGGGTTAAGATCAGAGAGCTTTTCAAATTGGGTGAGGGTATAGCTGAGGTAAGGCCTACTAGTTTCCAGCTCTTGAGTCAGACCAAATAAATTCACCCTCACTTTTTCTCTCAGGCTAGAAGTCACCATACGATAATAAGGGTATTGGAGAGAGGAGAGAGGGTTTTTTTCCTGATATTTTTAACTAGAGGTGGAAGAAAGCAGGTCAGGAAGTTGAGAAAAATATTCCACCCAAAGTAATATTAATTGAGATACCTCCAGTAGAGGGAGTGCACAGTTTTGTACACAAAACAAAGCTCTCTTCAAATCACAATCTTGGTAACAAAATGGACCTGATTTTCTATTCCCATATTCTGTAATATTGGGAGGGGGAAGGGTCTCATTGTAATCTAGAACTATAAAGTTTTGTGGTGATCTCTTATCCAAGTAATAATCAGCTCTGAGATCAATGCTATCTAGCTATTTTTGTGATCAGCCATTATTGGCTAGGAGCTCAATCTGGCTTGAGCTCTACAGGGAAAAATTAAAATGATCTGCGACAAAGCAGCAGAGCATCCATGACCAAAACACTCTAGAATTTCTTGTTTACATATGTTTGCATATCAAAATTTTAATTACGAATTCCTGACAATACAGGAAGCTGTATAATTCTTCCCTTGAGGAGGGAAATTTCGACAAAGAATGGTTAAGGTTTCCTTCGTGTACTTTGACTCCCAATTGATTTCATCCTCTTTGTTTGCTCTTACATTCAATTTTCTATAAATTAATCTGAAAAAAATAAAAAAATCAGAATGAGGAATTTATTTCCAGATGAATGAACCATTAAGCAGCTCTGCGAGTGTCAACAATGTATGTTGAGTAGAAATGTTTGGAACAGCAGGGCAGTGAGAAATAAGGACTGAACTGCAGTTCAAAGAAGTCAGCTTGCAATAGTTGGGAGTAACTACCATGAATTGATATGAGAATTAATGACGAGATGACGCCATGTCAAATTAGAAATAAATAGAAAGGAAACTGCAAGTTAGAAATGAAGAGCAATTTTAATAGCAAGGATTTGAAAGAAGTAATTTGGAAGAGAAGGAAACTGCTAGGCTATACACACACACATATACATCCTCTCTCTCTCTCTCTCTCTCTCTCTCTCTCTCTCTCTCTCTGGCCTTGCAAGAAATGTATCCTATTGGTTGTCAGACTCCCAGGGGGCTATGTGGAGGGTCCAGCTAACCTTGTAGGTTGTCTGTGTCCCAGGCTTGGTTGAAACTTGCTGGATGATGATGTAATGAAGAGGGTTGTGTTCTGAAAGGGTGTTGGGCAATTCCTATTATGGCTTTGTCCTGGTTTGGATCTTGAGTAAGGGCTAATCCTATCACCAAGGCCTTTTGTCTCGTAGATAGGATGGCCCAGTCTTTTTGGGGCTATGAATAAAGGTGGGGGGCTGCTTTCCAAGAACATGTTTCTCCTTTTCTCATCCAGGGAGGTATAATATTCTGCCTTTTTAGTATTTCCTATAATATTTCATTCTTCTAGGAGAGGAGTGGGTACTAACTTTTTACAACACCTTCACTCTCCTGCTCTTTCTCTCCTTTTCACTTTCTTAGAAATGCAGAGTGTTTCAGCTGCTAAACTAGACACCAAGAAAAGAAAAGACTCTTTCACAGCTCCTTTTGATCCTCGTTTTCCATTCACCAACCAGACTCGTAACTGCTACCAGAATTATGTGGGTAGGTAAAAGACAAGATGTGGCAATAAAGGTTAGGATAATTTTTGCTGAACAGCTTCTGAGCCATACAGGCATATAAAGTAAGCTTGACTGTCTTCTTGGTCTGTCCAGTTTGTCATTTGGGTAGCATATTTTAAATACAGATAAAGAAATACAACTGCTGCAGGAATTTGCTCTATATATCTAGCAAAAAAGAGACTACTAACTCAAATAATCTTATCACTGTACTTAGTGGAACATATGGTACTTCTGACAAGTATTTATAGCCAAGGAATCAAAGAAGAAATTGTGCTTTGTTTCAGATGCAGGTTTGAAATGTTTGACTGAATGTATTTCTTTAGAGCTCAACCATTTACAGTACTGTATTTGCAAAGAGCCCAGTTCCAGATGTTGTGCAATGCACCTGCTGCAATTTTCCTATATGGATGACACTATTTATTTCTTGCATTTATCCACACTACCATCACCTTATCCTCAAAAGGAACTTTGTGAAATACATTTTTTATTTCTTATTTCACACAAGAAACTTCTAGTTAGCCTGAGAGACATTGGCCCTAAGTCACCCAATAAACATCAAACTGAAAAAAGATTCTAATGTGAATTTCCCATTTCTAGTTCAACAGTTGAACAATTATCAGAAGATATCATCTTCTTTCTGTCCTTGCAGATTATTACCGTTGTCTGAATATTATGAAAACCAAAGGCAAGGATATGCAGAAGTGTGAATGGTACCATAAGGTTTTCAAATCTTTGTGTCCCAGCAGTTGGGTACGTAGAAATATCAGTTATAGAAGAAGAAAAAACAATCATTATCTTTTTTTCCCTACAGAATCAGTGCCTTCCTTCCTTCCTCCCTCCCTCCTTCCCTCCCTCCCTCCCTTCCTTCCTTCCTTCTTGGAGTGATGGATCATTTCAGTTAGAACCTGGGGCAAAATATGTACTTTCTGGAAAGTCTGAAAACTTGTTCATCCCTTTCAAAAGAAAGTTACAAATGTGTTTACCCCATACCATTTTTCCATATCTATGAACATGGTCTTCTGAAAAGTCTTGATTATTTATCATAGGTTTGTTACTACTTAAACATATCTGTAATATCCATGAAACTTCTAGTAGTAAATTGGTCTTCAATCTGATAAATATTTTTAAAGAGGTACCCACCAGTGCTTCAGACCAACTGGACTATATTTATTAGATAATTGTAGTGTAACAGGAGAGCCTATGATGTGGCCTTGTCTTAGCCATGATTGTAAAAGACTTGTCCTACTTTTTTCTCTGAACCACACAACACTCGCTTGTAATAAAACACACAGGATAGCAGTGCATCCATCAGCATCTCTTTTTATCAGCAAGTGAGGTCTGGATTTCATCAAGGTTCACATTGCTGCTGTGAAAAGGCTGTAAATGTGTATCAAGTCCATTTGCTATATATAATGCAGGGATGTGATCTCTATTTACATTTTTTTTTTCAAATTTCTATTTACTATTTCTTCAAACACTGGCCATCTTTTTGTTTTGAAGATTCATGAGACAGAAGATGTTAGATGATCATTAATGGACCAATGATATGGTAGTAAATTGCTTTGATTGATATCCCCTAATTCAGTAATAATTTAGCCTACAAATATAGGTAGGCTTTGACATCTGATCACAACTGGGACTAGAATTTCTGTTGCTAATCAAAGTAATTGTTAAGTGAGTTGCACCCAATTTCATAACCTTTTTGCCACAGTTGAGTGAATCACTGCAGTTATTGAATCATGCGATTGTTAATTGAATCCTGCTTCCTCCATTGATTTTGCTTGTTGGAAGCTAGCTGAGAGGGTTGCGATCACATGACCCCAGCATACTGCAACTGTCATTAAATACATGCCGGTTGCCAAGTGAAATTCAGTTGCCTGAATTTTGATCATGTGAACATGGGGATGCTGCCATGATCATAAGTTCAAGGACTGGACATAAGTTATTTTTTTCAATGCCATTGTAATTCTGAACAATCACTAAAAGAATGGTTGTAAGTCGAGGACTACCTGTACTGCTGAGTTTGCTGTCTAGGAATTTGAGAGTTGAAAGAAAGCACATCTGCAAGACATGAAGAATGAAAAGATGCCATTTTGAGATCTTCAATGTTATAGAGAGGAATATTGCTAGTTTTGTTGTTATTGTTCCAAGACTCACAATATTGTGTGTCTGTGCTTAAGCGTCTTTATAAGGTTCTTATTTGCTCTTCAGGTTAATCAGTGGGATGAGCAACGTAAACTGGGAACTTTTCCTGGCAAGATATAAAGATCTATCTTCTGTTGCCTTCATGAAGATAGCCTGGGAGGTACAACAGCAAGTATATTTTCATCTAGTTCCAATTCAACGATTAGTTACCGCAGAATCTTCGTCTCACCAAAACAGAACAAAATGCAAATAGAAGTATTGTTTTTAAAAAATCAACAGAAGAATACTTCCCAATAAACAACGTTTTAACAACTGAAATGTTTAGGTATTTTTAAATGCTTTTCTCCCCAGATTCATATATGAAACTTTTATTTTCTCGTTATCTTCAAATTTATTTATGTTTTAGCTTATATCTTATTCTACTTGTTCATGCTACAGTACCTCTGAAGAAATATTTTCCTCTTCACAATTTTAAATTAATTACACATGTAAGTTTTCTGTGGAAACCTGTATTAGTATATTTTCTCAATAGTTTATTCAAGACACGTTTTCCCCTCTGCTTCTTAGATGTTTTGGGCTATCATAGCAACCTTCCTATTATCTTCAGCAACTGGATCTGTAGTCCAACATATATGAAAACATAGTTGTGGATAGCTGCTTCAGGATAAGTTGGTTAATTGAAAAAATGGTACAAGAATGGATTGAATCTGCCCCTCACATCTTGGTTTTGATCCAGATCTTAACAGGTGATTTATGTTCAAATTTATGAGCCAAAAAAACCCCACAGCTTATTTTACGACATAAGGATTCACAAAATCTGAGGCTTCAGGTATAAACCTAAGATTGCCTTGCCAAGATTTTTGCTTTCTAAAACAAGATTTTGTATGCAGATATTGGATCCACACCTCAAAATATACAAGGGATAATGAACGGGAAAGGTGTGAAGCCAGGACATAAACACCACTCCTTACCCCACACCCAGGCATACTGGCTAAGGAAAATAGTTGGAAGGGAAATGCACACTCATGTACTGAGCAAACACACACCCAAAATCAAAATTGGGGTCGAGAAAGTGTTGACACGCCCTGCCAGGACAACCCCATCCTATGAAGTGGAGTGAGGCAAAGGGAAAACAAGTCTCCTCTGGAATAATAACTCAGGAAACAGGTGCGGGAAATCTCTTGATGCAAATGTGAGATTGGATGGATGGGCAGCATTGCTAAAGCTGCTATTCCATGGCCCCAAACAGATATGCTCACCCACCCTCTGTCATTTCTGTGCCAAGGATCTTTCTCCAATAGTCATACACTTTTTGTTTTGGGTTATGCAAGCACTGGCTGTGCCTGTTGCTTTCCCTTACCTTGTGGTTACTTTTGCTGAGTGGGGACAATCTAATGGAATCTTTTCTCTGGTGCCCCATGCTTTGAGAAGAGGAACCATGGGCTGAATGATGAATTGAACACTGAGTTGATTCAGGAAGTCTTCATTATAAGCCACTGCTGAAGCTCCCAAGGTGGCCTGAGGCTAGCTGGTTTCTTTCTGCCTCAGCCTTGCAACACGGAAACAATGACAATAATAATAATATAGCTTTCCTGTGTGCTTGCTATAAGAGTTACAGATAGTCCTTGACCTGCAACAGTTCATTTAGTGACCGTACAAAGTTACAGCGGCACTAAAGTGACTTATTATTGTTTTTCTAACGTCCATTGCAGCATCTCTGTGGTCATGTGATCAAAATTTGGAAGCTTGGCAACTGATTCGTATTTATGACAGTTGCAATGTCCCGGGGTCACGTGATCACCTTTTGTAACATTCTTACAAGTAAAGTCAATGGGGGAACCAGATTCACTTAATGTTACTTAATGTTACTTAACACTTAATGTTACTAATTTAATAACTGCAAGTGATTCGATTCACTTAACAGCTATAGCAAGGAAGGTGGTAAAAAGGGGCAAAATTCACTTAACAAATGTTTCATTTAGCAACAGAAATTTTAGGCTCTATTGTGTCATAAGTTGAGGACTATCTCTATTAGGATAACATGACTGTTTTAAAACAGGCCAGCAGATGTCCTGTTCTTCTCTGATGTTTTCAAAGTTAATCAGTTGCTTCCATTAAGTTAATGGGAATAGAGATTGGGAAAAGAATGTGGTTCCCTTTTCTCAGCATGTATGGAACTGATGAAAATAACTGTTTATACTCTGCAGAGGAGAACAAGAATCAGTCTTTTCCCCACATTCCATATGATGCTCTTAAGGGATTCAACACTGCCTCAATCTCAACTGCACTTCAGCTTTTTAAAATCACCCAGTGGTGTGCCTAATTACTTCCTCTACACTCTTACGCCAGGGCCAGTCAGCCAGTTGTGACTCTGCTCTTACTTTAGCCATGCCCCTTAAGCATCCTTTTTAAAACAAACTGAAACATCAACTAAGTAGGCAAAGTGACGTAGCCCAATGGTTCCCAGCCTGTGATCCACAATGATCCTGCAGGTGGGGCTTGTGACCGTGCCAAAATGAGAGATGTGCATGTGTGTGCTTTGGTGTACTGTACATACACACTTGGGAGGTTGCAAACTTTAATAAGATTTTGACTTTCTCATCCTATATCTTGTGGGACTTGACAACATTGCATGATTTCCAACATTTCAATTTATTTTTATTGAATCTTGGGACCCTATAGATGCCACCAGTGGGAATTATATGGGCTATTGCTCCTTTAGATATTAGACTGCTTAACCTCAAAAGAAAATGCTAGTTTAACTTGCTTCAACAGGTTGACATATAAGCTTCTCACAATGTGGTAATTAGGAATGATCATCTGGTCTAACTCATTGCAATTAGAATAGCCAAGGAAAAATGTTGGTATATGTAATGATATGCCAAAACCCTGAAACTTACATCTGGAACAAACAGTTTTAGGAAAACAATGAAGGCAATTTTTTCTCATAACTCCCTTCTGTCCAAATTGTCAAATCAATAGGCCTCACTATTTGATGACTGCAGCAGAATGCATCAACTCATCCCTATTCTAATTGCCAGAATTTATCTCCTCCCCACCTCAGATGTATTGCAAGAGGCTTCCTGACCCAGTCCCTGCTAGTTCAAGTGCTGGTCTGTCTGTCCCCTTCCCTGCTCTCTTGCCCTCCCCAGTTCTTGGGAGAGGCCTTGCTCCAAGCCAGTTTCCTGCCCACCCACCCCCATCTCTTTTTCCTGCCCCACCTCCTGTGTGTGAATGACCAGAGGCACGGGAAATCCGTACGCAGTCATTCTGGATTTAAGTCACAGCATATACAGGAACACCATAGCAGAGACCGAAGGGAGGAGAAGAAGGAGCTTGGCCCATGGGATGCCCGAAAGTGAGTGATGTGCAGAGGACACAGCATCTGGGACATCCTCTGTAGCCGGTAATCACGTTAGTCTTTGACTGGGTATGCACTTGTTTGTCTGGGGGCAAAATTTAATAGACTATATAGCGTAGTTTCAAAACCAGGTTTGGACAGTAAACAGGTGGAAAAATGGGGGAGACTGGTGTGGATAAGGATGAATCCTGATACATAACAACATAATAAGTTCTGGCACTAGTATTTCTTCACCTCTAGTTCTGTCTCTTTCCCACCACTGTTTTATTACCAAATTCAGAAGTTGGGAGGTTGGCTTTCTCCTTGCACTAAACAATTATTTTGATCCCACATTAGATAATCAAGTCTCCCTGCACCATTCTTTACCTTCTGTCAAAAATATGTTCTACATCAAGTCAATATTTGGGGCAAGTTCGTAAAGTGAAAATTGACTGGGAGGAAAAATAGCCAATTGGGAATAGCAAACCTATTCTGAGTGGTAGATTGGACTAGAATACCTCTAAGATACCTTCCAACTGTGTTATCCTGTGTTATCCTGTTAAACAATTCATATACTGCACCCTGTATTATTTTCTTTTTTTAATCCAGGGGATGGGAAAACAGGAAAGAATGTATGATTGAAATATCTCTTGATTTTTGGTCTTGGATTTTGAGAAAGTTTGGTGCATGCAGAGCAAAACGTCTGAGTTCTGTGCTTAAAGTATTAAGGCTTTATGGAAAGGAAAAGGCTGATACACCAGCTGATTAAATAGGGAAGAATCGTGTTTTAGAGCTTCATTTTATGATTCTGATTGAAGCATAGGGTGGGGCCCAGATGGCTTTATCTCATAGGGTCTTCCCATTGTTTCCAGTCTCCCAAGAACTAATCAGTTTGTGTGAGGTGAGGCCCAGCTATTCTGATCCCAAAGCTGGTTATCTCATCTTTTCCTGTTGACGTAACTGTTCGATTCAAGACCTATGACTCATATCCACCATGGAAGTTCTGGATTTGTTCTCACTGCCTCTTTGATCTAGATCTGAATTTTGCAGCTCATGAAAAATTAGCTAATTGGAGGCTGGAAGATTTAGTCAAGGAAAGGATCTAGAATAGCTGTTGACAAGCTGCTTGACAAGATTTATTGGGCTATAAATGCCCAAGGGTATACGGGCAGGCCGAATGGCCAACAACAAGCTGCCTGGTAATTATGGGCATCATCCAACATATCTGAAATGCCCCAAGCTAGAGAAGGGCAAATATATGAATCAGAAGGGTAAGGACAAATCAAACTGAAACAAGGAATGGAGAGCAAAGTCTTTCCAGCTCCATTTCAGGGCTGTGCGAACTGTGTCCAAATAGGTACATATGCACATACATGTCACTACAATATATCTGCATCCTGCTTTTCTAAATAAAATGTTTAAAATTGATTAAAACAGGCCAGGTGACGTAGTTCAAAGTTTCAAATCTACAAGTTAGCAAAAGTGTAGGGACCATTTGGCCAGTTTGCTCATATATCCAATGTTAAGGCCAATGCTTTCCAGGTGCTAAGTATTGATGAGCAATGCTAGCACACCTCTGTCCACAGTCTCACTCTTTTCTTTTGCTTCTTTACCTAAAACAGACCTAGAATTAGATTAAAATAAAAGAATGCCATCCAACAGTCAAAGAAGTGCTCTTTGTAGAGTAAGAGATATGGCTACTCTCTCCTAGAGCCAGTCAAGCAAGACTGGAGGTGGCAAAGTAAGAGAAAGACAGAAGCAGAGAGACTTAACCATAGGG